GAGAACAATTTGGATGTATTGTTCCTTTTTAAAGCTGCATATTTGCAGTAAAACATTAGAAGCAGAAATCATGTCTACAGCAATGTCCCGAAATGGCCAAAAGAGTTCCATCCCGGATTACCTTTATTTATTGCAGTTGATTGGTGCAGTCACATATGTGCACAACTGCACAAATTGATGCTGCTGACTTACACAAAGTTTGAAAGTAAAAATAGCCACCGAATATTTACCCTGATGAAAAGTATGTATATTTGCCTGGGCTATCACATTTTTGAGTCAAGCAGAAGGCAAAGATAGTCATGGGGAGGAGCAAGGGCATATCCATGTGTTGATCTGTTGGAATTGTATTTAATTGGAAGAAAGTGTGTCCCTGCATATTTTGCATCATTTTCCAGTTCAGCAGGGATAGTTGCCCCTCTTCAAAACAAGAAACTTGAGCTAGATGGCCTATTTTTTGTGGTGCGCAATTTGTAAAGCGCATCCTGCCTTAGAGATGTGCAATGGGGGGAAGCTGTCCCTCCTGAATGTCCTTCTGTCATTCAGCTAGTTAACAGGATAGCTTCCCTGATATTTCAACTTAGACTGCAGAGGAGCAACATCGATTGTAACTCAGACTTGACCCGCAACAAAAGCAGCAGTGTGCGAGCCCAGAGTTTGCTGTGATGTGAGATGAGCAAATCAGCAGAATGTGCCTGACATTCTGCTTTAGCACAGCAGTGCATTTGCTGTAGGTGGGGCCTTGGCCTTTCTGTTCAGTTGAGCAAAACCAAGAAAGATGACCCTGCTGAGTGACTCACACACACACCAGACTGGAAACTAGGAGACTTTGAACAAGCGATACATTGCTCCACCAGACATTCTAAGCAAGTAAGTTATGTTCAATGCCTCCATTTCCTCATGTACAATATGGTAATGATACCTACCTCACAGGAATTTTGTGAGACTTCATATTTATGAAGAATGGCAAGCTTCTTGCATGGATGGTGCTGTGTAAATGCTTACATGTGTGTCCACTTGTTCTGAAAATCATGGCTTGTTTGTGTCTATGTCTCCATCATCTGCCAACAGTTTTCCTTATAGATGTCAGTCTGAACCATGTTGGCTCAAGCTTTGTAATCTTTATGTATATTTATTCTGATGAACTGTCTACCTTTCCCTTTATTCTTCCAGTGTTGGTTCACTTATGCTTGCTTAGCTTGTAGTACTTTAACTCCTACTCCGTTTTTGTAGACCCAGACAACAAAATACAGTGGAATGTCATTTTAAGAGGTTTATTGGTATTGTTCTAATGATGCTAGGATGTCTGCACTAGTGTAAGAAGTCAATGAATTATCCTCTTAGAATTGGCAATCTGTCAATGATTGAATTTAGCAGTTACTAACTATTGGAAATGTGATCCTTCAGGCAACTGTATTGCTAAAAGCGCATGTTCTTGCTTTTGGAACTAATGCTCAAATTATGGTGGGAAAGCTAGGTGGTGGCCTTCATGAAGTCTCCAAGTCCCAGTATCTAATTCCACCCAATGTTGGTCAAATCCTGGGCCCACTGTAGCCTTCCAAAAGCAGTTGGGGGTAGGCCACCTCTGACCCTTTGTAATTTTGAGCACTGCTGATGACCCCAGAAGAGGGTATAAGAATCTCTACATAGCCAGCTATCATGTGTGTTAACAAGCTAATGAGGCTAATCTGCATTAACAAAAAGCATGTGTAAAATAGCTGTCACTTACCCAACTCCATAGCTTGGTGCAAAGTTGTCATTTTTCCAGCACTCAAGCAAATCACATTTGGAATGGCTCTGGTTCACTCTCTTCTAAGATCCAAGAAGTTCTCTTCAGTTATGGGAACTGGAGAGAGAAGAGATGTTTACTATGAGCTAGTAAGCCTATGTTGTTTCAGATGGGGTGATGGTGATTAGCAAGAGCATAATAATGCTTGTTTCAGGAATAAACCTCCCCGCCCCCCAGAACTGGGCTTATCCAGTCACTGTTTGCCACCAGGCACAAGGCTTGCCATGGTTTATTCCCTGACAAACCTTTAACAGCTGCATGCTAGGCCAAATTCAGCTTGAACAGTTCATCCTGACATAAAGAAGTGGTGGAAGAAAGCTATTCCTGTTGAGTTCCTTTGTATCATGCAGCAACTAAAACCACAGGAGCTTTGCCAAGAAAAAGAGCAAAAGGAGGCAATCTGGATATTTATGGAAATCTATGTGGATTTAAGAGGAAATGCTGCTCCCAGAATGAAATGTTTGTCATGCTTTCCTTTCTGCTGTATATCACTCACTGTACTGATTAAAATTACTACACTAAGCCTTACGTGGGGAAAAATACTTTTCAGAAGTAAAACATGAGCAGTATCTCAAATATTTGGTCATCTTTGCAGTGAAGGAAACAGATACCAGATAGATGTTCTTTACTGTGCTTCTTAAGGGCTATGCATGCAATCCTTAGGTTTGTGTCTATCCATAAGAAACGCCTTTATGGGCATTCTGTTACAAACACAACTGTTGGTTCAGGGTTTCAGTATCTATTTCAATGGGCATAATTAATTGTAATTTGAGCCTACAGAACTACAGTCTTACAGTTAGCCCCTAATATAAAATTAAGTGGGTAGCATGCACTTAAGGGTTTTGTGTCTGCTTCAGGACCCCCAAATACAGGCCAAAACTAACTATGCACAAAATGCAGTGAGAATTTTTAGCAGAAGGGGTGTTTTAAAAATAATGACAAGTGAAAGTAAATAAAATGTCAAAGGTTGTGTATGTGAAATACAGTGGCAGGACCTATGTACTTGAATTCTACATTGCTATGTTGTGAATTATATCAGTGTGAATAAGAAAGAGCAGAAAAAAATAAACAAGCTATCAGAGGCCTGGCAAAGTGAAATGGACTATTCGCCTTGTTTCTAAACTGGGCTTGTGCAAACAGTATGCCATCCTCTTGACAATCGAAATTTTCAAACTTGTGTGATAAGCTGTAGCTTGGCAGCCACAAAAATTCTTAGTCTACATATTTTGATGTAAGTATACTACTATATTGTAGCTGTGTGGTATATGCTGATACGTAATAGTGTATACCTTTAAGTTAGGGTTTGCTAATGTAATACATTTCAATAAAAAGCTATTTGAAAACCAACTGTATCTGCTTAATGTTCTTTATCGTGCTCTGTATTTGTGAGAACTTTCCTACCTATCAGATTCAAATGTACAACTGAGATTTATTGTACTTTGATACTATATTATCACCTAACAGAGAAAAAACTGTGCACAAATTAAAAAGAAGCCCTTCTGTCTTCTTAGGTCATCTCTGCCCAAAAAAAGGGGGGGGGGCAGCCTTCCAATACACACTTTGCTATGTGAAAATACACAGGCACTTTCACATAGCCAGTTTAGTTTTCTGTGTATGAGAGCATAGAAACATAGAACACATGATTGTAAGAACCATTGCTCTGGTGTTGTAGAATTAACACATACATTCACACATTTCTCTTTTATTACCTATGTACTGGTGAGATATAGGACTTGGGCCAAACTGGCAGTTTATGTTTAAGAAAAGGAAGTTTGTGATAGAAGAGCAAATGAGGTTTGGGTAGATAGAGTTAGAAGCAGGGTTGCTTATGAAGCACAAGGTTTGTTGCTTGAACATGTGCAATATACAGTGCCTACAAAACACAAGGTATTTAAATAGACTGTGGAAAGATGTGGAAGATTACAGAGGAAGATATTCATCTACCACTTTGTTTTGTGAATGGATCTGAAAATAAAGTCCTTCTGCTAAAGAGATATTTTAAGAGAACACTGCTAGGCAGTGCTCTTTTGTAAGCTAGATTCACAGACAACAAGTTTCAGGCCTAAAACCAAACTGAAGCTGCTGCCACTCCAGCACTTCCCCAGGGATTTGTACAGGAATGAATGCTATGTATTTGCTGCCTCCTCCAGTAGAATTATCATTTATTAATTGGTATTGCAGGTTCTAAAGCAGGTATTCCTCTCAAAGATGTTGAGCTAAGACAGCATCAGCCACTGATTCCAGTTCCAGTGCTGGCTCCAGGTTTCTGGGGGTTCTTTTGAGACATTCAATGTCCCCTTCAGTGTGGCTGCCTTTTTACCCGCTTGTCACCAGCTGCTGTTGCTCCTTCTCCTCTTTTCCATGATGACTGCCACTTGCTTGACAGGCAGAGAGCCATTGAGCACATGGGCTGGAGCAGCTACCCTGTCTGCTCACCAGCATGATTTTCTGGGCCAGATCAAGAGGCAGGTGAACAAGCTATGAGTCAGCTATGATGAGAAGAGGCACAAGTCCATGTGGCTCTTGGTCAGTTAGTGAGTCTGGGCCAACAGAAGATGCCAAACCCTGCCTACCCTTGGTGGAGGGGGAGCTGTGGGACCAGCTGGATAGACTGCGAGGGTGGGGAGGGTTCTGAGGAAACCTGCCTGCTCCATAGAAGTTTTCTATGCGTTTGCAGTGGTTTGCCCAAAGAAGAATCTTGTGTGAGCTTGTGAATGATCTCAAGTGGCAACTGCGCTGTATTTGTGAAGACTGCTTGTTCTCCCTGACGCTATTTCGTTTGGCCTTCTCTGGCTGTGTGAACACACAAAGCTCACATATATGACGTCCTGTTTTTCCCCCACATCCCAGCTCCATGGACGCCAAAAGCTCGTCTGGCTCTTTTTTCACTAAAAAGGGAGCCCCATTCAAATCGCAGTCAACACTCTTCATTCCCAAAACAATACGTAGGGGAGAAATAGCCGGAAGTAAGTTATCTCGCCCGCCCGGAAGCTCGGCGTATTAAGGCTTGAGTGGCGCTAGCAGGCCGGGGCTGCGGTAATCCAACGAGCTGCGGAGGCGCACTGAGAATTCGAAGAATGGCCGACCGGCGGGGCCGTTCTGCGCCAGCCAGGCCGCCAGGGGGCGCAGGAGGAAGACGCCGCCGAGGCCGATGCTCGGCTCCGGCCGCGACGTACGCAGCCCCGTGACCCACCTGTGACGCCCGGCCTGCCCCGGCCCGGCTCGGCTACGGGAGGGAGAGCCGGCCCCGGTGGCGGCGGAGGCGGCCAGCGGGGTCATCATGTGGCTGGGCCCCGAGGAGGTGTTGCTGGCTAACGCGCTCTGGGTCACCGAGCGAGCCAACCCCTTCTTTCTCCTGCAGCGGCGGCGGGGCCACGGCAAGGGGGGCGGCCTGACTGGTGAGTGAGGTCGGTCGCCAGCTGGGCAAGGAGGGAGTGGCCGCCGCCAGCTGCCCTCTGCCTGCCTCGGAGAGACCGAGGCAGGTGCGGGTGGAATGGTCGGGCCTGGGCTCGGGGCTGGACTGCTTCCGTAGCCCTTGCACCCTGTCAGCAGTCATGAGCGGGCTCGCTCCTAAGGGGTGCCGAGTGGGTGGAACCATTAACACTAGCCGGGTCCTTTTACACCCCAGCCAGGGTCCCCCGAGGCTTGGGTGCGTAGGGGCACGAGCTCCAGTGGCCAGCCAGTAACGGGGTCTTTGGATTTGGGTTTGTTTGCCCCTCAACCCCCTCCCCCAGGGCCTAAAGAGGACGATGCCTCTGAACGAGGACCGTGTTAATCCCCAGGTGTTTAGATTGGCTGAATAGGTTAAGGTTGCCTCGCTTCGTGGCTTTAGAGTTTCCTTCCTAGCAGAGAACGTGGGGAAGATCCCAAAGGCAACTGAGTGTGATGCTCGCTAGCTAGCTAGCTGCATTAGGCCACTGGGACATGGTGAGAGCTCTCTCCTGCAGGGTGATGTCAGTGGACCACTTTGGGTAATGCATGGATCTGGACACGTAGGTCTGAATAAGATCCCAGCTCTGCTCTGTGTGTGCGTGTGTGCTTGTGTATAAAGATGTGGCTGGTCTGCAGGTGTATATAATATTGGGTGGGGGTTCGTGGAGGTACATTGTGGATTTACACTTCAGCATTCTGTATTCCAAGGGAACATAAGAAATATTATCAGCTCTTCCCTTAATTATTTTCACTTAATAAATAATAGAACATGTGTGGTGATTGTTTGACAACTTTAAGAAAACAAATGGGATAATATACATTTTTGAAGGTTTTCTGTATAAATTAGAGTGTTATTTTTTCCTGGGAATATGCATAAATTACATGACTTTAACTATTCAGACAAAATGCAAGGTTCATGGCAAAGAGTTAAAAAAGCCCTAAAGTTTAAAAGTTAAAAGTTTAAGAACTAAATTCTGGTAGCAATGTAATAAATCATGGCAGGAGCAGTCCTCTGGTCCTAGGCAGCATCTGAGGAGCCATAGGATTCCCTTATCCAATGCTGGGGACAGCACTCTGGCCCCAGAATGGGGAATTGGAGCTCCAACACCCTTCCCCCTTGTAGTTCATACACAAAGAGCTGTGCTGGCTGCTCTCCAAGTTCAGGGACTCAACCTCTGAGAAGGGGGCATTTTAGTGGGCAGGAAAAGACTGGGGAAGTCAGGATATTAGTTATCCTGAGACCTCTCCAGCTTCCTGAGGCCTTTTCTTCCTCTAGTGTGCCCTGACTAGACATGCACAACAGCTCATCTAGCAAAAATTCAGGGCTGGAGGAAGTGGAGGTGGAAGTCTCCTCTGCCTGGGATGGTCTTGCACCTCCAAATTCAGGGACCATAGTCACTGAGAGTGCAACTTATAGGACTACTTCCTAACACAACTTAGGTCACTTTTAAGAAAAGCAAATGCTGATTTTGTTTCAGAAGCAAACAGCAGTTATTCAGATAGGAACATGCTTGCATATCTGGGTCTGGACCTACAGATTGGTGAAACCCTAAAGCAGATCTGATCAGTGCATTGCTGCACTCCATTTAGCATATGTTGTATTATAGATAGGTTTGGACATGGTGCAAAGGTGGTGCCTGTGGTGACACAGGTGGCGTGTTTATGTGTTTTTGTCTTCTGCTCCATTGTCCATGTGTTGTTATTTCCTTCTTCAGAAGTATAGCCATAGAGGACAGTGCAGACATAGACTTAGTTTCATTCATCCCTAACTGTAAATATTGTGTGGTTGTGTGTCATAGACCTGGTAATTCCAGTAGCATACAAATCTGCAGGTTAGACGCAAAGCCTAAAGCAATTCACAGCAGAACATGGCATTATTTAGTGGTGCTGTGTGGAATGGTAATACTAGATAACTGCTATCTAGTGACTGGTGTCACCAGTGACAAACTGCACAGGCCCCCCCTCCCCACCCCCACCACCAAATTTGAATGCTTTAATTAACATATTTAGAGTTGGAATGCTTCCTTCTAGTCGCATTTACCCAATGCAGACATATTTTCCATTCTCCTAAACACATTTCAGAGATCAGAGCACTTTCCAGGCTTGTGTGCTTCCTTCTTTTTCCTTTGCAAAGGTTTCCCCTTTTTTCATTGTTAACCCTTGTATGGTACCATAATGCTTGCAATGATTCTAATTATGATTGTGGTTCCCTTTAAACTAACATCTGAAACCAGTTTTTAACATTGGCTTGCAAACGCAAAGATAGCCATTGCAGATCTAACACTGCACCATGCTTATTCCTGAAAAAGGAAGGTGCAATTAATACAAGACATGAGATGAAGGGAAGAAGTGTGCGAGATGGCCATGGCTGGTTTTAACCATCATAGCCATGGTTTTAAGTGTGGGCAGTTCTTTTTTGAAAATCCTCAAAATGTAGGCTAAATTACCATGTATTATTCTGTGATGGTCCATATGCTCTGCAAATATTAAGTGATTAATTCTTTAAGCCCACTTCATTTGAACAGCTCAGGGTGAGGAACACTATTTATGCATATACAAAGCATTACCTGTTTGTGCATTGACCCTGCTTATTTCACTAGTAAATGATGCTTGCATTCTGTAAGTATGTCCCTGGCTGCTACTGAAAATGCCCCCTCCCCTTAATCTAAGCCTGAAAAGACATTGGAACTCCCACAGGCAGCTGACTTCTCCATGTGCTTGCTCTGTGCTGAAAAGCTGGTGGCCTTTATTATAAAATAAATGCATAATATTTTGACATGTTTTCTACTAAACGGTATGCCTTGTGCGGTACATTTTATCTTTCTGGTTGGTTTAAAATGGGTGTCCAACCCACGGCCTGCATGCAGCCTAGAATGGCTGTGGATGTTGCTCAACACAAAATTATAACTTACTTAAAACATTATGAGGGTTTTTTTGAGATTTTTTTGAAACACGATTGCTCAGTTCTCAAGCATGAATTTTGTGGATGACAATGTCATGTCACAATGTCACGTAAAATAAATGTATGTATGCTCACTATTTGTATGCATGTGTGGCTTCAGTTTTATGGTGGTGTGTGGCTTACAGTTTGTTGTCTTCCAAGCGCAGAGAGTCGAATTGACACCAGCAGACATTACATGTGCTTGTGGTGACTTGGAAAGTGAAATGCAGCTATTATCAATATTTCAACCTACCATTGTAAACAATTTTATCAATTTTGACACATTGGCTAAACAGAGGCCTGTGAACAGCAAAAAACATGCAGTCTTGCTTTTCGATTTGATACAAGAATTTGAAAACAGATTTCAAGATTTCCAGGAAAATAATCACTATTTTGGTATATTTGCAACTCCATTTTCAGTTGACATAAATATGTTACCTGCCAATTTTCAAATGGAATGCATAGAGCTGCAATCTGAAATTCAACTTAAAGAAAAATTTGATCATGGACTTAGGACCTATAAAAGTCTTTCCAGAGACAAATACCCCCACTTCACAATTATACCTTATTCATGTCTTTGCTTTTTGGCAGCATCTACATTTGTGAGCAACTATTTTCAAGAATGTAGCACACTAAGAGTAAAATTAGAACCAAAATATCTGATGAGCACCTTGAGAACTCAATGAGAATTGCAACTACTTCCATTGAACCAGATATTGATGCATTAGTCTTTGAAATACAATGTCAAATATCTCACTAGTTTTATGTTGCCCTCTTTTATTTTACTTTTATAGTAAAAATATCAAAAAATCAGTGAAGTTTTATTACTTAGATATGTTCATTTTCTATATTAATGATTGCAAATTTGGGACCGGCTTGACAATTTTAAAAGACTCTCTGAACAGGGTGCCACATAATTATGATGATTATATGAGGACCTTTTTTATCTGCAGTGGTGGATATCAGAAAAATTATGCACAGACCTTATTTTCCCTCATCAGCTTTTGTTAGTGTTTGTGTATTTAATGTGTGGCCCAAAATATTTTTTCTTCTTCCAGTGTGACCCAGAGAAGCCAAAAGGTTGGATACCCCTGGTTTAAAAAATACTGTTCTGGGAGGCATCTAAAGGGGGGAAACTTCTAGAGGACATGTTAGTCTGTTGCAGCAAAACCAAAGAGCAAGTTCCATCTATCTGCCTCAGGTGGCAGATGCTGCAGGGCATGAGGCAGTGGCAAGATATCGGGGGAAAGAACAGCATATGCAACCTGCCCTCTGTCCCCTGAGCCAACTAGCTGTCACCAGGTGCCATTGAGAATGTTGTCCTCCAGCGCTGAACTAAGATTCAGCTGCCAGTCCAGTCAGCTTCTGTGTATGCCATAGGAGAGCTGCCATCTCGTCCTTTGCCCTATTATTATTGTTATTATTACATTGCATTTCTGTGCTGCCCATAACCAAAGGTCTGTGGACACTTCATAACATTTTAAGTCACCCACCCAGACCAACCAAGCCCGACCTTGCTTAGCTTCCAAGATTAGGCTGCATCAGGCACTTCAGGCTAAATGGAAGAAGGAATAAATAGGCTTCAGCTAACATTGACAGAGAATCTCATGACCTCTTTAAAGCCCAATATATGTATTGTGGCATAAATGTTTGTGGACTAGGTTCAGTTTTAGCAGATGAATGAGGTTTATCTTTAGTTGACAAATATTATATTCACAAGAGTATAGCAGAAAAAAAAATACATGGCAAAGAAAAGTAATAAAGTCCAAATGTTTTCTTGTTAGAATTTTCTGCTCATGAGTGTGTGTGTCTTTGATTATTGTTTGTGCCACATTTTTAGGTGGCTTGAACATCTTTATAATAAACATATCAATGCATAATCCTCCCTATTGCAAATAAATAGTAACAAACTTTTGTAAAACAATAACTATAAAATATCACTAGATAAATATGTAGATCGCACATACTCATTAAAAATACAGATTTTATAAATGTGAAAAATAAACATTTGCTTATCTATTTTCA